ACAGGCTCAAAAGTGGGACTGTTCTGGAGAAATAGGAACGTCTCAACACAATACATTCACTTCAAATTACTTTTACTTGAGTAATACTTTCCCAAATACTTTTTATTGAGTAATTCCCTTTGTACTTTATACCTAGTACTTTGTATACTTAGTACTTCTTGAGTGATACGATTTTAAATACAGTGACCAGATTTTCAGAATCAAAAACTGGGAGACTCACGTTTTTTTGGTGTTTGGTGATAATAAAATTGTTAAACGAGTGACCCGTTTATGACGAACATGAGTCAGTAAAGTCACATTTTCTTTGTGTTTTTGTCATTTTTAAGCAGCTTTTCTGTATTTTACCAAAACAAACAACAATTCACGCCTCTTTACTGTTGGCAGGGATCAAATTGGTCAAAAAATTGGGACATTTCTTGTATAAAACTGGTACAAATCAGTGGACACAGGTGACTGTCCCGTGTAAATACGAACGCCTGGTCACCGTAATTTTGAAGTAACATTAATCCTGAGCACAATTTTCAGATGCTCCACCTCCTCCGTCTGCAGCGCAGTGACACAAAATACAGGTTCAGTTTGAGTAAATTGTAAAATAAACTTGTTGTAATTAAATAAATGTGTATCTTCGTCTTTTTGTCTGTTTTTTGGTCGATAAAAACTGTTGAATTCAGATATTGAAGCGTCCTGTGCAGCCTGGACGTGGCCGTGGCCTCGTCAAAAGGGGGGAAAGGCATGATGGGAACAAACTGTGCTCAAAACTGCCCTCTGGTGGCAACAGAAGGTAAAACATCACCACTGAAAAGTACGGACGGACACCAACACTGCACCACCGCGACTGTGCTGCCCAGCTCCAGGGGGAACATCCTCATTTGTACACGGGGGGTGTTTTTTGGCCTGCAGGTGGCGCTCTCGACTTGGTTTGGATGCAGGACGCACATCGCTCTGGCACATTCGCTCCGGGTGGGTGGTGTTTTGTTTTGTTTTTTGTGTTTTTGTTGTTTTTTTTTTAGCCCTGGCCGTGCTCTTTGGGTCGGTTCCCTCTCTCTCCCCTGACCTCCGGCCTCCCAGCAGCCTTTGCCTTTGCGGAGCGTCCGGGGCGGCGCCATGCTACAACGCACGGCGCCGGCGACACACGCTGGCGGTGTTCCTGAAACGGTAAGAAGGCCTCGGGAGGGGAGCCCGAACAGAACGCGTGTAAACAAATATGGACGTTAGCATACTCCAGGTAACATGACACAAGTCTACAATAGCAGGTCTATCACTCAAGGTCAACATCGTCGTTTTGCACACGGCTATCAGTATCATAAGACTATCATTAACAAGAAGAAACCAAGAGTGGAAAAAGCAAAAATCGCTCGCCGTTCACTCGTCTCTCTCTGCGTCAGCTTCACGTGTTCAAAGTTGGAGGGAGTATTATACTTTTACGGGGCGTTAAAGACGAGGGACGTGACTTCTGTGGGGTTTTTGCCGAAACACGTCGCCTCTTTACATCAGCGTGTTGCTTTTATCGTTTTGAAAAAGCCGGATTCACCAAAAACAACGTATTCACATGTTTTAGATTCATTTTTGACGCTTTTTCAACTTCTCTTCCCAAGAACGGAAAGTCACGAATTACATTTACTCCCGTTACTATAACTGAGGCTCCACCCACAAAAATACGTATTTGTGTTTTTTTGTTTTTTTTAATCTGACTCCAGAGTCTGAACGATCTGGTGCCTCCAGCTCCATGTTCGTACAGATCTGATCCGGCACCGTGTGGACTCCTGAAAACTCTGATACTCTGATGTAGGAGCTGGAGTCTCGTCCTGATTGGACACTGTGTCACTGTGACTCGCTCCTTCTGATTCTCTGGGTTCGTGAAAACAAACCAGAGACAAACGAGAAACAGTCGAGATACAAACACTCGCTCGGTCACGGTTCATGAAAAGACTTCCTAGGAACTTTTGGCAAACACTTGTTTCTAGTTGAGTCAAATTAATCATCTCAACTTAATTTACCATTTACTTAAAGGCAAAATCACAACACAAAACTTTATTTTTATATACATCTACATCAGGCATGTCCAAAGTACGGCCTGTGGGCCAAATGCGGCCCTTGGACAAATTTTTTCCATCTTCATCTTCCAGAGGACTTGATCCAAATTACTTTACATCAATTAAAAATTTACTTTTTGCAGCAAGTTTTTTTTGAAAATCTACCTTGGTAAAGCTCATATTTAATAATATTTAGTTTGTGGTTTTAAGGATCTTGGCGTGAATAAAGACTGAGGCTCATTCTAACGTGTTTAAACCTGCACATATTTCAATTATTCACTGTATTGAGCATCAGTCTACAGCCTCGATCGTCCCTCTGCTTCGTCTGTGTTTAGAGATGTGGCCCTTGATGAAAAAAGTTTGGACACTCCTGCTCTACATAAATTAAGGCGTTAAAGGGTTCAGTTCTCATGAGTTTGTTCTGATTATTTATGAACGTCTGAGTTTTTAGTTTAAAAGAGACGACAGTAAAAGCACTGACAGGATTTAGAATGTTCAAAAACTATAATCCCAAACCATAAGGTGAGTGGAAAGATTTAATGTTTCAGATTTAGACTTAAAAGTCTGATCAGTTCTACACATGCAGGAGCCGTAAAGTCATGGAAAATTCATGAAAAGTCACGGAAAAGTTTAGAAATTTTGTCAGTGAAAAAGCGGGACCCTGATCCCTCGAATGAACCTCCTGCACAAACATCAGGTTTGTCGAGTCATAGTGAACAGTTTTGTGTCACGTTTTTGTGTATTTATGGAGAATTATCCTGACGTAGGCTTGTGGGCGGAGCCTCGTACAGCAGGGTTCGAACAGGGCTTGGGAGAGATCTCTAGATTACTCAAACATGCGTGGATGACTCTGAAACCTCTCCAGGCAGGTTTTTGATGAGAAAACGATGTTAGAACATGTTAGAAAGTAAAATAATAGCCCCTCTTTAAAAGGTTTCCCTTCCCTTTGCTCCCCACGCTGAGTCACTCCCCCTTCAGAGCGCTTTCACAATAATGAAACTCCTGCACATCATATTTTTACATTAGAGTGCACTTTTTTGTATCAAGGTTTTGGAAATTTTAAGACAATTGTCGTGTGGGAGCATTTGGGCTTGTGGGCGGAGCCTCGTACAGCAGGGTTTGAATAGGGCTCAGGAGAGATCGCTAGATGACTCAAACATGCATGGATGACTCTGAAACCTCTCCAGGCAGGTTTTTGAGGAGGGATCGACGTTAGAAAGTTTTGAAAAAGCATAATACCCCCTCTTTAAAACAAAAAGGCCGCCGTTTGTCGACAGCTCGTGGGTCTGAGACGTCGGTTTGAGTCTCTCGTTTTTTCTGAACACGTCAGATCGTCGTCTCGTGCTGCAAATGGCAACCGGCGTCTTCATTTGGCAACTTAACGTAAACAAAAGGACAGACTTCGTTTCGTGTGATTTCCGCGAACGTGTTTTTTTTTTTTTTTTGCTACAAATATTTGGCAACCGTTAAATGGCACATGTGACGGACAGGCAGTGACGCGAGGATTTAAAGCAACGGATCTCGGTCGGATACCGGTTTCGCGGTTTCGTAGACGCTCGTTGGAACTTTACCCGGTGTCAGTTTGCTCAAATATCGTTCACCGACGCCAGTGTTCGGTGATTGAAGTCGCCGATTTTGCTTCGGCGCGCGACTCAGAGGACGACGTCTGACGCTGGAGAGAGATCGAGCGAAGGACGAGCCGTGTTAAAAAACGTAAACATTTCCTATTAAAGAAAGCCCCAGGTCCCACCCACAGCAGAAACCCTCCTCTCAAATATGTATTTAATCAATCATGCAGGATTCCATCGATTTTTGGACTCGGAAAAAGATCGAAAGGAGGCTGAGCGAATGCAACAGAAGAACCAAGCTCCGGATGTCCCCATAAGAACAAGAAGTAATACAAGAAATCGTGAAGAGAAATCATCTTTTCCCCCCCGTTCGCCTCCGCCCCGTCCAGCCTCGTGATGTCACTTCCTGTCAGGTGACCACTCCACGTGTGCTGGGGTTGAGTGGCGGAGGAGTTCGGGCTGCTCGATGTTTGAACGAACTGCAAAATCAACAAACCGCAGTCCTCGAGTATCAAAGAAGTTATGGCATTCCATGTGTTTTTTTTCCCTTTTTTTTTGTTTTAGTTTTTTTTTTTTTTACCCCAAAGCGATCGACCAATCAGAGTTCAGATCACTGAAAATTAGTAAAAGCTGTTAGTGAGAACAGTTTGGCCAGTGCAAGTCTTAATACGAAACTTTCCCTCAAGCAAAACTATTTTAGCATCGTCAGTTGCCATGGTAACCGCATATCACATTTTCGTTTATCGTGCAGCCCTTTTGATCGACGCCCTCGCCGCCCTCCTCCTGCCACAGACAGGAAGTGATGTCACCACAGCGCTGTCACATTAAAAGTCTTTAACAGTAAACAGAGATGATAAAACTCATCGAATATCGGCCAGCGCTGTGATTGGCTGGTTTTTGCAGTAGTAGGCGGAGCTTCCTGGTTCAGTCTCTTTTGGAAAAGGAAAAGATAAAGTGGTTTTTCTCCCTTTTTTTCACGTCAAAGTTTCACTTCATTGTTCAAGTTTGATTTTCGGAGGCATAGCTTGGCGTTAAGAGAAAGAGGAGTCCTGGCTTTTGAGAAATTATTTTTCTAAATTCTATTTCAATCTTTGCAGCAACACTTGAATCAATCGCTCTGTCAGCGCGGCGGCGGCGGCGGCGGCCGTCGTGCCCTGTCTGTGCCGCACCGAGAGCAGAGGACTCTGGGAACTGTAGTTCTGACCCAGGACGTGCCCTTGTACCTTCATGTGCTGCGTTTCACTGATTGAAGTCTTTTTAAAAGGCTTGTGGCAGCACCGCGGCCCCCGCCCCCCCCCCCCCCCCCCCCCCCCCCCCCCCCCCTCCACAGAGTCAAACGTAAAAGGGGGCGTGGCCGTCTCGCACGTTAGCACGTTAGCACGTTAGCGTTCCTCCAGGGTCAGCACCAGTCGTCCTCGTCTGTTTCGCTGTAAGGTTCGTGGAGGCCCTTCCTCGGGCCTCTGGGGTGGGGGCGGTGGTGCGGGGGGGCTCCCGGGGGCCCGCGCCGGTGCGGGGACGGCGAGGACGAGCGGTACCCGTTGGGGACCCTCCGCGTGTGGGGGGAGGGGGGGGGCCGTGGCGCGAGGTCCTTGGGGAGCGGGGTGGGGGTTCCCGTGGGACAGGCTCTGTTCGTACGCGGGCGGCTCGTAATCGTGCTCGTAAAACCCGTCTCCCTCCAGACTGTCGCCCGGCGGGGGGCCGCTCCAGCGCCCGCGGTGCGGCGAGCGCGGGGAGCCGTGCCTGGACGAGGAGCCGCCGCGGTGGGGGGAGGCGTGGCGGGAGGGGGGCCTGTGGTGGTAGGCGCGGTCGTGGTCCGGGGGGAGAAATGACGGGGGAGGGCGAGCGGAGGCGTCCGGGAGGCGGGGGGCCGTAGCCGGGTTTCCTCACGGCGGGGGAGTAGGTGACGTGGGGGCGGGGCACGGCGGGCGTCTGGGGCAGCTGTCTCCGCCCCCGGCGCGGCGTGCTGGTCCCGGACGTGGACGGGACGGGGCTGCCGCTCACGGAACTACTGCCCTACAGCAAAATGTAAACAAGGAAAATCAAACGGCACAGCACCAGCACGAAGCATCGAGCACGAGGCAAAGAATCAGACGAGAAGCACACGCAGCGCCGTCACACACACGACACCCGACACACGACACGCGACACACACGACACGCGACACACAACACACAACACAACACACAAGCATAAAGTGGACAAAAGAGAATGAAATCAGTCATTAAACAGCCTCACAGGGGCCGACACACAACACAGGCCCAGTCCCCACTCTGAGTCACGCAAACTCTAAACTCTAAACTCTAAACTTTAAACTCTAAACTCTACTTGCACACGTTCACGCACGTCTACACAACGACGTCTGTTCATATTATTCTTAACATTTATTTACTTTAAGTTCAATAAAATCCCGTCACTTGTGTTTACATTTACATGATCAGCGGATTTCGTTTGTGATCAGATTTTACCATTTTGATCAGTGTTTTGATCAGTGTTTTGATCAGTGTTTTGATCAGTGTTTTGATCAGTGTTTTGATCAGTGGTGTAGTGGGGATTTTTTTTAGTGGCGTTTGCAATTTGTGACGTCATAAATCTGTGATATTTTATGTTTTTTTTGTTTTGTTTGGTTTTTTTAACTCAAAATGATGCAAAATCATTTTATTAACATTAACTCTGTTTATAATCATCAACAGAACATAAAGTACAGAACACATAAACCAGGACTAAACCAAGACTAAACTAGGACGAGATCAGGACTAAACCAGGACTAAACCAGGACTAAACCAGGACTAAACCAGGTCTAAACCAGGTCTAAACCAGGTCTTAAGCAGGACTAAACCCGGACTAATCTTGGATTTGAGAGAGAGAGGGAGAACCCTGAGCCCGTGGAGCAGGGCGTGGAGCTCTGCACCCGTCTTTTCTCCTGCCATCACCTGACTCAAGACGGGTGCACCTCCGGGCCCGACACTCAGTCCTGGTTCAGTTCTGGTTCAGTTCTGGTTCAGTTCTGGTTCAGTTCTGGTTCAGTTCATCATTGCCAGTAGCTTTGGTTTGACATTTAAGTTTTATATTTGTTTTTTGTTTTTTTAAATCTCACGTCGGGAGAGATAAAATCACCCACTACACCTCTGGTCTTTAGAAAAATTAACATTATAAAACTTTATTTGCGAACTCCAGTTAATTTGAATGAGCCAAAGTTTAACTGACGGAACGTTTTCAACCGTTTCTCGCGAGCAAAATAATAAAAATAAAATCCTGCTCGGACTCAGAGTGGGGAAGAACGGGCCTCACTAAAGTTTATGCTGCTTCTCGTTAGTAAGTATAATTATATTTCTATTTCAAAATTAGAATGTGAATAAATAAAACCGTGAGAGTCGCACCTGTCTGTGGCCCCGCCCCTCGGGGCCTTCGCTGGGCGACCGGGACCAGTGGCGGTCGTGGGCGTGTCTGTGGGGGTAGTCGTGGTATCGGTCTTTGTCAAAGGAGCCGTGGTGGTGGTGGTGGTGGTGGTGGCGTCGGTCTTTGGTCCTCCCTCGGTCCCTCTCGTGCTCTTTGGGGGGCAGCTCACCAGACTGCGTCGTGGTGCTCAGGTCTGTGCCCAGGCCTGGCAAAACAATCAGCCAGTTCAATCCAGAAACACAAGGCACAAAACGCCGCGACGGCGCCACAAAGAACAACGGAGGAGGACGAGGCAACGTGAGACGAAAGTGAAGTGCAGAGGACGGACACGTAGAAGTGAGAAGTGAGCAAAGTGCAGAGGACAGACGCGCTGAAGGACGAACGCATGGAAGTGAGAAGTAAGCGAAGTGCAGAGGACGGACTCACTGAAATGAGAAGTGAGCAAAGTGCAGAGTGCAGAGGATGGACGCGTAGAAGTGAGAAGTGAGCGAAGTGCGGAGGAC